AGAAGTTTTCTCGCCGTTGAAGTATCATTCTCAACCATTCCGACAGTTTCAAGTACGCTCGATTATGATGCATCGCGGCACCTAGTAATTTTGACAAATTGATAAGTTAGATTGTCATGCCACCCCTGCTGAAGGAAATAAATATTTCTCACCGGCGTTATTGTGTGGAGTAATTCGTCGTTTCCCCCTCGAAGAAATGTAACTGCGTTTCAATGATGCCAAATTTCAATGATGCCAAATTTCTTCTCGCGAATCGTATTTTTACCAGAAGAATTTTGGGCATTTCTAACTGAAATTTTCATCGATTTTCCCTCTGATCTCATGCAAGAATTAATAAAAATTCTGGATAAAAATTACACATATTAATTGGACGTATTTCTGTCAAACGGAACTATGTGCATTATGATGTGAGCCCTGTTATGCATGTATTCTTATGGGTCCCAGGGCTCATGCCTTAATGCACATAGTTCTGTTTGACAGAAATACGTCCAATTCATGTAAAAAAGAGACTCGTTCTAATCAATTTTTCAACCTTGGAATGGAGTTACGTTTCTTCGTCGGGAGACAACGAATTGAACAGCTCATTTAAATACATATAACTGCAGCACAGGAGAACGAGCCTTTGGAAGAGGCTGAGCATGAAAAATTTCACCTAAGACTGCGTATTTCGATGTTTATTTCGTCTTTTAAAAAGCATGTGTCCATTGCATCACCCTGTGTGCGAGCTTCTTAGTGTCCTTAGTGACTGGTGTTTAGGACTGGGAACTCCGCCCGGTTCACTCGTCGGATTCGGGCTTTTCAATCCGAGTTTTCCTCTTTTTAAACGGCATTTGTTGCGGCTTCGCTCGATCCTCAACCGCGGATTATTGCGGCAAATCCAGTGTTCACGCGGCTTTGCCGGGCACCGATATTATGCATGTCCATTCCCTGATCACCTCTCGCAATAAGACGCCCCACGCTCTCTGCCGAGCCGGAAAGAACGCCTTATGAACACTTAAATGTTGCCAAATTTCCTCTAAGGAAATATTTGTTTTTAAGGAAAGACAGGAATATTTTCCCTTGATATTTTCAGACACTTTAGATCAAATTACGAACTAAATTTTCTTAAAAATCGGAAGAAAAATATTCATTGATATTCCTGAAAAATTCCTGTGAAAACTTATCAAAGGAAATTTGGCAATATTTGAAGGCTGTTATGGTGTTTTTCCATAGCACGGCAGCTTTAGTTTCTGGCCCCTCTCGCCCCGCCACGCCGCGGCCGGCTCGATTACTTATTTGGATCGATTAAACGAACTATTAGGTTATCTTGCAATCTATCCCTGCTCACGCGCGAGGGAGGCCTGTCCGCATCGTTGCCAAATCATGATTTTAACGATAAAATTCAAGAGAAATGCATTCAAGTAAAAGGCTGATACACGGAAAGGGAAAGTAACCGAGTTTTATGTTAACCCTTAACATCCTGAGATTTTGTGTTTTTGAAGTTTTTTTGTTTAGCCACTAAAGCTTCCTGAGAGTAAATCAATGAAAATGAATTGCTTAGGTGAAGACTTAGGCCATGCTGAATTCTGCTGTGCCGTATGGTTTCGCGGACGATGAAACGTAACTTAATTCCAAGCTCGCAAAATTGATTCGAATAATCCAATTTTTTGCAATAATGCACCGTGCTATTTTCGTCCAAAATTTGTCTAATTTTTGCATGAGATCAGGAGATCAATCAGGACTCTTTTCGTTTACAAATGCCCAAGAATCTCTCGGTAAAAATGCAATTTTCGAGGGGACTTTCGGTAACATTCATTTGCAGTTATACGTTCTTTTGTGGGGGAACGATGATATCTGGGTACGCCAGGATGTTGAGGGTTCAAATGGCATAAGATCCCACGAAATGTATTATGGAGGCCTGAAAGCGTGTCATGTATGGCACGCCAAATTTTTAAAGGTTTCAATGTAGAGTAGAATACAAATTAATCTAAAATGTGCAATGAGGAACTTCTGATTAGTTTTTCCTGGGGTTACATTGACCGAAGCTTTGGTTTGAATATTTGCAACTCGTTAAAAATCAGGCGCTAGCCGCCAGCATCAAGCCAGCATATCCCATTGGTGATCATTCCAATGTGCTATAGCCACTTGCAAGTCGCAAAATTTAAGGGATATAGAGAAGGCCAAGAGTACATTAGTTCAGCAGGACACTATCTTCATCCCCAGATCTTTCAGAGAGGAACCTCCGGTTTTGGTCGATTTAACAAAAATTTTGGTCGATCAACCAAGTCCTTTTTGATGATCAGTCCGGAAAAAAATAACCCAAGGTAACCATCACCACGGAAATGTTTAACAGGATTGCCACAGTCAGGGAATACTGGAAAACGTCGGGAAATTTTAAAAAGCCAGGGAAAACCTGGAAATGTCAGGAAAAATGTGAAAAGAGTCAGGAAAACATTTCTAATTTACCTTTATTTGCTTTCTAGAATGGATTTGACGTCTAGCGCATCTTTGTCTGGAAACTATTTCAAATTATGTCTTCATGACCATATGGCATCTCCTCAATTGTCACGGAATTTTACGCAAATATGTCAGGAAAATGTCAGGGAATTTCATTTTTCTAAATTTTGTGGCAACCCTGATTTAACTGTTAGTTCTTTTCAGTACTTCTACTTCCAATTCGGAGGAATTGAAGCCGTCATGGCGAAAGAAACTGGAATCCCTTATTTTTTGGATCGGCAACGGGGGGTTTGGGAGTCGTGTTCTGGCTAAGGAATATCGTAATAGTATCGGGTTGGCGGCGAGCTAATAGCAGGGATTAGCGGTCGTATCGGCCAGATCTCAGATCCGATCCATCTCGCATCATCGTCGCGAAACCGCGCCATTTCGCAACTCGCCACTCCCCCTCCCCCCTCCGCGGGATTATGACTGAAACTCAAACAAAAAAAATTAACGAGAAGCTGCATTCGATCAGCCGCGCCGCTGTGCAGCGGAACGAGTCATCGCGAAAGGTTGAGCATGAAATATTCGACTACAATTGGAAATTTTGATGTTTATTCGGACGTATTTCTGCTAAACGGAACCTGAGACAGGTGGGAGGGTTGCCATAGTCAGGGAATACTGGGTAAACCTGGAAATTTCAGGGAAAATGATGAAATTGTCAGGGAAAAATCGTCAAATCACATTAATTTGCTTTCTCGAGTAGGTTTGACGTTTCGAACAACAAATTGTGCCTGAAAACTGTTTCAAATCATGTCTTTCTATCTGGCAAACCCTTAATGGTCAGGGAATTTTACCAAAATGTGACGGAGAAATCAGGGTATGTTAAATTCTGTGGCAGCCCCGTTTTAAGTTCCTTGTGAGCTAACTCTGCCCTGTCATTGACCAACGCAGTTACATTGTGTTTACAGGGTGTCCTCAGGGTTGGAAAAGTCTAGGGTTGCCGCAGTCAGGGAAGACCGGGAAATGTCAGGGAATTTTAAAAAGTCGGGGAAAGCCTAGAAATTTCAGGGAAAATGACGATAATATCAGAAGAAAATCGTCAAGTCGCCTTTAATTCCTCTCTAGAATGAGTTTAACGTTTCGAACAACAAATTGTGCCTAAAAACTATTTCGAACCATGGCTTTTGTAAAAATATGGCATTTGTACAATTGTCAGGGAATTTCAACAAAATGTGTCAGGGAAATCAGGAAAATTTTAGGGAATTTATTTTTCCAAATTCTGTGGCAACTCTGTGGGGAAGAAGGGTTGTGTCCGAAAACCATGGGCCTTAAGAATGAATGGGAATCATAAAGCGCCAGTGACGTCAGCGTGGAAGACCGGGTCGAAGATCTTGACGTCCGAAGTCTTTAACTCATGAGCTCTGTCCACAATGCTCTTTTCCCATGACCACGGCTCATTAGTGCTGCATACAGTTGGCGCTTAGTTCTGTTTGGTAGAATATAAAATCCCGCTTTTCTATTTCTCCAAAAGGAATCCCGTCCTCTTTTACATTGTTTCTTATGCATCCTTCTAGGGCACACCGCATATTTGCCCACCCTTTCTGTAGTTCCGTTTAGCAGCAATGGCAGAAATACGTCCATTTCATGACTATTCAATTTTTAAGGAGTGCCTTTGAAGGAGAGGAGGGGTATCGATAAGAGCCGTTTTCGGGCATTGTCCTCAACTGTACCACCTTTTGCTCATTGAAGGTCTATATTTTACGGAATTCTTAATGAGTCAATGGTAACTTTTAGTTACTTGGTGCAAAAGATATAATGTATTTATGAGGCTCACACCGCAGTCGTCTGCTTAATCTTATTTGATTGAAATAAATGTTAGTTCTGCCTGAAAATCTTTTGGAACCTGGCAAGTTTTAGTGAACGCTGAGTTAACTGTTAGTTTGTGAACGCCGGGAGAGCCTTCAAATACTGGCTATACATCCCGCTTTGCCGGGAGATTAGTTTAGTTGCGTGACCCAACCGAACGCTTAAAACGCCTTCAAATCTGGCGATACCTTCCGCTTTGCCGGGAAGTTAGTTTAGTTGCGTGACCCAACCAAACGCTCAAAACGCCTTCAAATCTGGCGATACCTCCCGCTTCTCCGGGAGGTCAGTTTAGTTGCGTGACCCAACCGAACGCTTTGAACGCCTTCAAATCTGGCGATACCTCCCGCTTTGCCGGGAAGTTAGTTTAGTTGCGTGACCCAACCAAACGCTTTGAACGCCTTCAAATCTGGCGATACTTCTCGCCTCTCCGGGAGGCTCTCCAAATTTGTCAAAGACAAGCCTTAAATGGGTCGGAAGTCAGATTTTGGCGTATAATGCGGCTTTTTCGGCATTTGACCGGAAACCCGCAAACCTCGCATATTTCGCCAAAAGCGGCCTTAAAGACCCATGTTAAGGTCAACGCTAGACCTTGATTAGACCCCAAAATGATCAAATCCTTCTGTATTCTGTAAAATATAAACCTAAAAAATCTTTGAGTCACAATTTCTGTGTCAGTGAATTTTTATTGACGTTTTGTTCTTATTGGAATGTTACAGGCCTGGCTGCGTGAATTCTCCAAGACCAATAAATGGAGCCTGAGCTAGATACGTCGTAAGTAATTTTAGTTTATTCTCAAAAGTCGATTGTATGAACTCAAGTCATGTAGATTCATAACTACGAATGTTAGGAGGCAACATGTTAAAAATCAGATAAAGATAAGCACACGAGTGAAACTATAAATTCAGTGGTGAAAATTCATTTCGGAAAATCAAATACATTTCCAAAATGCTGTGCCCGACTCACAGAGAAATTCGAAGTTCAACCGTCAATTTTTCTAAGCAACAACAGGATTACCGGCTATCTGGAAAATCGGGAAAGTCAGGAACGGTCTGACACATCTACTTATCAATAAAATATATTATTGACCTGCCAACCGTTTACCCTTTCTGGTAATTTTTAAGACTTGTCATTTTGTGACCAGCTACTGAATGCCTATCTCTAGAATTTGATCTCCAAAAAAAGAAATTGTTCTGAAGTTAAGCTAAAGTCACCGTATTTAAAAAAAAGGTCGAAATTTTGTTCGAAGGTCAGGAATAGTCAGGGAATCAGAAAATATTGGAGTCAGGGAAAAGCGCAAATAGTCAGGGAAAAGTCAGAAAATTTGAAAATGAAGAAATTACGGCAACCCTGAACTATTAAAATACGTGCACCTGGAAAACTAGAAGCCCTAGTGTGAAAAAATCTAAATTTTCCCGCATTTCTGTTCTCAGCGGTTCATATTTTCCAGTCCCCTCGCAATCGCAGCGAGCTCTCAGCGAAAGAAAACTTTAAAATAAGGCAAACACGGCGCTAACCGCCCTTAGTGCCGAGTTGATGAATCGCAAAGCTGAGTTGATGAAATATTCACGAGTCAATTCAAAGAGGAACCCGGGATGGCTCCTCATCCCCTCGCTTTCCAGCCGGGAAGATCTACAGCTTTACTATCTCGTCCGTCCGAAACAAGCGGTTCGCTCATTCGGCTGAATTTCGCGCTCGGATTAGGTGGAAAACTTACCTCTCGAGCAGCCCGAACGTTCGTGTCGGTGAGCACAAAACGTTACTTCTCTAACGAGACGACGGCGTCAGTGCATTTTGGGGTGAACCCTGTCGTTCGTGTATCGGCATACACTCCAGGGTTCGTGTCGAAATGGAGCTATGCTTACGTCAGAAGAGCAAAGGAGATACGAATTACGGAATGGGTTCATTTGAAGTTATTGTGCGAGATGAAGAAAATATGCCACGCCTGTAGTGTAAAGGAGGTCACTAAGGCGTGATTAAGGAGGAGGTGCACAATAAGAAAAAGTAACCAAAAGCTTGGGTTAATGTAGGAAGTTAAACACGAAGTATCACAAAATTTGGTTGATCTTTTGCACTACACTGGAGAGAAAAAAAAAACACATTGGATCTAGAGTCTAGACTCTTGAAAACATTGACAAGGAAAAGGACTCTTGATTCAAGCAGATTTAACCTTAAATCAAAAGGAAATCCGCTCAAATTAAGAGGCTTGGTTCTTGATTTTAGCTTAAATCTGATTGAATTAAGAGTATTTTTTCTTGTCGATGTTTTTAAGAGTCTGGACTCTAGATCCAATGTGTTTTACTTCCAGTGTAGTTTTCCTGTGTGTCAAATCGACCAAATCTTTGTGTTGAAAATCTGCGATCTCGTCAAAAATTAGTCCGCGGCTCGATTGTTGAATCGTTATCGAATGGCCTTGATCGATGTACAGCATTGTGAAGATCGGGAGTCATCGATCAAACTCATTCGATAACGATTCAACAATCGACCCGCTAGACCGTCTCGATGCAAGACCAACGCGCCAGCCATTCGCAAGCTGTGATCTCTGCCGAGTATGAGGAGGGAAACAAGAGTAAACAAACGGCAGGACACTTTCCTCAAGATCCGATGTCTCAGAGTATTTTACGGTTTGGGTCGATTCAACACAAAATTGTGTCGCGCAACCAAGTCCTGTAGGTTCACCTGACACAAAAAAGTAACACTAAGTCACATTTAGTGACATCAACACGGAAATTTTTAACCATGTGGATGAACTGGAGCATTTTTTTGTATTTCCGGGAACATTTTGATATTTCGGTCGGTTTCAGAGTCCTGTATCTTGCGGTTGACGCGGCAAGAGGAGACCATCCGCGCCCCGGAAATCAGGAATAAATTCAGCGATTTTTTTAAAATAATTCTAGTCTCCACCCTTGTAAACCATTTTTTAACCATTTTTTACAAATAAGTGTAAAATATTGTCAAAAACAGCAACGTCATCAATCTTGTCATTTTGCGGTCTCCGACGAAGACGACGCACAGTGATTCAAGTCTAACAGAGAGGTCGGACATGAAATCCTTAACTAAAACTGCAAATTTTGATCTTTAATTCGCCACATTTTGAATTCTAAGGGGTGGTGTTAGACGAAAATTTTACGAGAAAACCAATGAAACCATTTTTAAACCCTCAAAGTTTATTATAAATGGAGTTGTAAGCTTTTAAAGTTTCCAAATTTGGTCCGACCTCTCCCGTTGACTCGATCCACTGTGCGGCGTCTGCCAGTCTATGAACTTTCCCACCCTCGTAATGAGCGATACCACGTTTTCTAGTCGTGAGAATTTGAGTTCGGAGATATGCACACACTGTGTGATCCCTTGCCTGAGCAGTCAAAGACTAATATCTCGTGACGTCATCAGACCTTCCCCACCGGTTTCACTCTGTCAGTGCCCCTTCATTCACCCATCTCATGACGTCAACAATCCGCACAATAGCCGAATTTCATGGAAATTGGCCTCGCGACGAAAGAACCACTCAAGTCCAACAGAAAAACCGGGATAGGTACGAGGTTTTGGATCAGCATAGCAGATCCTCCGACTCAAGCATACTGTTAGGAAAACAGCAATATGCACATTTTAGTGTGAGACCTAGAGTGCATAAGTAAACCATGCGTATCATGGCTCAATATTGATGTGGAGTTACTGCTGTCTTCTGTGTCGACGGAGTACGTTCCGACGAAGATGCGAGTCGACAAGAATGCGAGCAGATGCGCTTGCGCTTGTTGTGTCGCGAACACGTGGTGCGAATATGGTCCGCGGACCCCTCTTCCCCCCTTCAACCCCCCTCCGGCGCGTCGATTCGCTGTCGTCTCTCCTTGACCTTCTCAACTGGATCCATGCCGCGCTGACTAGGCTAGGATCTTGTTGTGATCTAATTTTCTAGGAATTTTTGTGTCTTCTCTTTCATTGTCGTACTGCCTTTCCCGTCAGGTATGCTGCGCCGCAGTGTTTCTCCTCGCAAGTCGCAATGAATGCAAAATATGTTTTTTCCTGTGATTTGTTTCCTTTATTTCTTTTCAGGGGTGCAGGATGCTCCATGCCTCCGCAATTTTCGAGGAGGCCTTTGCAACTTTCTGCTACGCGTCGGATTTTCGGAAAAAGGTTAACGCGACGCGCTGTTCAAAATTTTGGATAATTTTTCTCTGTGTGACAAACTCGTATTGCTCCGTATGAGTTGAAAATCTGAAACCCTTTAAAAGCCAAAAAAAAACTCAGCCTGCACAATTTTTAGGGCACCTCCATCAATTTGCTTCCCTACAATTCTTTTATTTCAATATGCTGTCTCATGATATTTTTATTTCCCTACCTGATTCCCTCATTGCATCCCAGTTTGGGCAATGTAACTAAAATGTTAGTTCCCCTTGTAATCCTTTCAAGGGCGTAATTTCAGCCAGATCGAGGAGGAAGGTGGGGAAGTTGTTCAGGAGAGGCTAAATTAACTTGAGGGGAACAACTTCTAACAAAGTCCTGAATTGCCTTAAAATCAATCAATATTGTCCTGCAAATAATTGTGAACTAAGCAATTGAAAGAGGGAATTGTCCGCCTCCTGACTTCCGTCAACGTTCTTTCATGCTTGTTGTTGGTGAAAAGATCTAGCGATAATTTATGGGGGATCATAGTTCCTCTGACTGCAATATCACGGTGGGTTCACTATGACTATTCCGCACCGCAACTATTATAGACGCGCTTAGTCGATGAATGACCTCTCGACGGGGGGTAGTGCATGTCAGGGTTGATTGCATCAGATCTTAGGATCCCCCGGTGTCAGGGTGTGTGAATTAGACTGAGCAGCTCAGAAAATACGTAGAAGCACAACGAATATCTACGTCTTCCGTCGAAATTTTAAAAGACCAAAAGTAGGGGCGAATATGAAATTTAAAATGAGTACAACGCTCACATACTCAATCATCTTGTGCTATTCCTTTTGAGATTGTGACGACGCAGCTTCATTTGGAGGTATATTTCTGGCTAAAAACGAGATTAGTGAAGGGGGAGCCATCTAGCGGCTTTCCGAAGAAACTTGCACTGCGCCATAGAGTTTGAGCTTCTTCTTTGACACGTACAATAACGTTCTCACTTTGCTTCGTGAAGAGCGGTTTGAGGGTGTTTTTTGCAGTTGGCTCTATTTTTTCCAGCCCAAGAAAATCAAGCGGATTTTTTTAGAAACAACTATTTAAAAAAGAAAAAAAACCAGCACATAAACGGGTTAAATTGTTGCTCGAAGCTTTTTGTGTACGAAGCACCCGTTCACTATATAACATGAACCCTGTACATCATTCCATGATATTATTGAAAGAATGAGAAATCGACGGCGCAAGTCCACAATCACATATCTCGTTTGCGGTGTCTGAAAATCTCCGCCTCCATGTGTTTCTATAAAGGAGAACAAATTGATATCATTCCTTGAAGTTTTTGCAGACTTTTCCTCGCACAGAGAAGAAAAATCATGGCAGTTTTAAAGAATTGCCGTTGAGTAGTTTTCTGTTTAAAAACTGAACCATGACAGGAAGTCTGCGACGACGTCGCAAACCGAGTTATGTGGTTGTAGACTTACACCGTCGAAATGTAAGTCTTCGTCAGGTAAAATTCCACCGTTTTTACTCAGATGTCACATGGAATCTGTGAATATGTAATGTCATTTTTACAGTTTCGTTCAGTGAGTACTCTCCAACGCCCGTACGTTGGAACCAAACCCTTGTTTCCGCTCCATTCTTTCTCGGCGTGATGAGCGACCGTTCTAACCTCCAATGCGGTCAAGCGCGGACACGAATGCGCGGACCGAAAAAAGAGCGGATGCCTCTGGTCCGTGCCGAAAAAGGGGGTAATTTGTGAGGTGCGACATTAAAAATTTAATGAGACGAAGGTCCGTCGTTCCACTTTTAATTGATCGTCCAGGGATTAATGAATCGGTGCATTGGCGATTCCACGCGCTTCGCGCTTCGTTCAGGTCATTATCATTGCACGCTTGCCAAATCAATTATGGTAATTGGGCAAGTGGAAGATTCGGCAGATCGGCTACTGTGCCCGCGGTTAAAGCTTACGTCAGATTTCAATACATCGCCTTGTATCTTTAAATTAAGTATGACGGAAAAGTGGAAATGTCGAGTACATGAAACCGCGGATAAGCAAAACTCGCGGTTAATCTGACAGAATTCGCGGATAATCTGACAGTAAGTGACTTGGCCAGGAAAAGGGATAGAAAAGACCGCATTTTAAAAGAATCTACCAAAACACTTGCCAAATTACCTACATGAAAATGTTAAGTACAGTAGAGTCCAGTGGTAATTTTGCATGTTGATAACACTGTTTTACCCCCATTTAAATCCATTAAAAATATCGATTTAAGGCGGAGCAAGCTGCCTTGCCGAGAATCGATTGTGTTGCGTACATTTAAATGATGAAAAAACAGTATTGCCAACTTTCAAGAATAGCCACTGGTAGAGTTTCGATTATTCGCGATAAAAGGGACCGGGACTACCGCGGATAAGCGATATTCGCGGATAATCTGAAAGTAAGCGATTTAACCTGGAAAAGGGATTGAAAAGGCTACATTTTAGAAGAATTTACTGAAACATGTGCCAAATATTCGATAGAAATGTTATTATTGGTGAAAAATGAAAAAAATTTATTTGAGTAACCCGATTTTTTATCGCTGTACTACCACAAGGAGAGACACCCTGCTCAAGGTCCTGTTTCCGGGTGGTCAGTAATTTTAAAATTTTAAAATTTTCCATGTAACCCGGCAACGCGGGTGTAGACGGAGGAAAGGTAAAAAGTTAATTGATTCGAAGGACGCTCCAGGTCGTGGGAAATTGATTGAGAGTGAATAAAATGTCGTAAAAAGTTAATGAAAGGAAATCTGGGGCACGGGGGNTAGGGGCGGGCGGGGGAGTCGATAACCCGTGCAACTTCAAATCTCGCTCTTCAATTAGTTTTCCGCCTCGTCGCAGCCGCCGCCGCCGTCCGAACTTCTTTTTTTACAATCATCATTTTTAGTGGCCAACGTGACGTCACTCGACGTTACGCTCGCCGCGGTGATTATTTTAATACGAAGCAATCTGCCAGCGCTTGTTCGCTCGATTGTGTAATTCCTAGGCCGTCGCGTCGGTGATTGACCAACGAGACGAGGTGGAATATAGGCGGAGAAGAACAGAGGAAAGGGGATGAGCACGAAGTCACGAAGTACATAACGATGGAGTGTTTTCATTATGGTCAGCAAACTGAATGATACTACAGGGTTTCCGGCGGTTTGGAAAATTTGAAAAAGTTAGGGAATTCAAAGAAAGAGGTTAGGGAATGCAAAGAAAAGGTTAGGGAATTCAAAGAGAAAGGTTGTAGGGAATTCAAAGAGAAAGGTTAGGGAATTCAAAGAGAAAGGTTATAGGGAATTCAAAGAGAAAGGTTAGGGAATTCAAAGAAAAAGTCAGGAAATTCCAAGAAAAAGTCAGAGGATTCTTAGGAAAAGCCAGAGAATTCAAAGAAAAAGTCAGGGAATTCAAAGGAAAAGTCCGAAAAATTGTGCGAACAACGCCAGGGGGTCGTCCCTAAATTACGTAACTTCTTCTCTGGCAAGTCATTCTGCCAAAAAATGTTATTGAACTCAAAACTCAAGTGTCATTTTATAGTTTGTGGGTTCTGCTCACCTCTAAGTATAGTTCAGTGGAGTGGCATGCTTTACGATGTCTCGATGAATCTGCCATTATTTTAAACCCATGTAAAATGATCGATAAACTGGGTGTTCGCAACGAACACCTTACCAGTCGATTCTTCACCACAGCTTCAAACGGGAATATATAGATAATAATCGATCATTCGCGCCTCGCCACTGGTGTAGTTATGCCCAAAGCGACAAATTATCACACGTGGGTCTCACGGCACTTGCACCGCCGAGCCGCGCGAGCATGCATTTTTCGCTCACCTGCAATGCATCGTCTTCTCCACGTTCCTCTTGTCCGGGCGCAGTGCACGTTGCGTTTTACTGCCGGGCGAAGGAAAAACGCCGTATGAACCTTCAGGCGTTGCCACATTTTCTCTGATAAAACTCAAATTTCGTAGTGAATTTATGAATATTTTCCCTCCAATTTTTCAGAGAATTTTCTTCGTAACTTTACCTAAAGTCCCTGAAAATTTCAAGGAAAAACATTCATAACTCTCCTCAAGAAAGATCATTTTACCGGAGGAAACTTGGCAACTCGCGATTGTCCATACGGCGTTCTTCCCTAGCACGGCAGTGTAGACACCGCATTGTCGCTCGCAGAATGAAAAGAAAGTTGTGACCAAGCGTCGATTGATCTCACGCTCGACTTATCCCCTTATGGCGACGCGCCGCGACGCTTATCCGTCAACGACTCAGAAGTAGATCTCAACTGGTCCTTACGATTCTGTTGTATCCAACGGGAGGATTATCGGAACTCGAACGACTACTGGTCCAATGACCTTGATCCAAGGGCGGATCGGAAGAGGGGCACATGGTGACAGCAGGCCGATTATTGAAAGCGATAGACAAAGAGGACTATGGAGCGATCCTATTGGTTGACATGGTTGGTTCCCATAGACTAAGGAAGAAAATTATGGACTAACTGTCGGGTCCTTGGTGGGTTGCCGTTAGTTAGTCCATTACCTACCTCCTATGTCCATTGCTACCACCCGCTTCCACCAATAGGATCCCTCCAAATCCCTTTTGTCGTCTTTGTCTATAGCTTTGTCTCTCAGTTTCAATAATCGGCCCGAAGGCGTGGATCATGAGAAAAAAGGGAAAGGAGCGCGAAGCCGGGGTGCATTAAGTTTCGAAACTTATAGGCCTGGATACACGCTCAAATTTTCGTCAATTTTCGATCAAAATGATGACAAAAATGGCGGTCGAGAGTTATCTAAATTGCTATCCATAATTAACTGAAACAACGTGTTGATGGAAATACGCATGAAATGAGCACAGTCGTGTAGAAATCAGATGACGGATAAGACCCACAGTTCCATCATCTACCATCAAATTTTTGCAGGCCGCAAAAAATCGATAGTAGATGGTGCGCACCAGTCACCATTTGATCGGAAATTGGTGGAAATTTAAGCGTGTATCCAGGCCTTTAATGGAAAAGTTGAGGAAAAACAGAAAAATCGCCACTGAGAAGTGCTGCCATTTTCCTGAATTAATACCGAATTTCAGAACTTTTCAAATAATCATAATTATTCCCGGAATTTTCAGCTAGTATTAGAATTTTTCGGAATTCTCTCGGAATTTGGGTTTTTTTATGAGTTTGACCGATTATGTTATCAAATTTGATTATTTCATGTCAAATTTGACAGTCTTCAGAACTAAATTCGGGCGTACTTCGGAATTTTTCGCTGGTAACTTTTGAAACATCGGAATTTTTTTCAGAACTTTTGAAAATCGGAATTATATGTAAAATGGCAGGACTCATCACTGGCACCGAAAGACAGTATGAATTTCATAGCTGAGCACAGTATATTTCACGGTGTATTAGTGAAACAGTTGGTATCTGTGCGCAGATGTTGCAAGGCCAAAATGGCGAGAGTTTGTTATCTTGCGATGCCTTCATGAGGCTTAAAGAGTTCGACCACCTGAGCTCTCTCGTCATGTCTGATGGATTGTCCATCGTTTCGTGTAGCAAGCAACCCACCGTGAACAACTTTTTCCTTACACATCCTTCATCAAATTGCTATGATTAATATCTCGTTGTTTAATGTCGAAATATAACCGCAAAACGCAAGAACCAAGCAGTTAAGTGACCCAAATTATCTAATGAACTAAAGAATTTTTGTTGTTGTTTGTGCAGTGGATCGTAGCGCCATGACCTGTCCCTGCCGCCTCCGACCACATTCACCATGTGATCTACGATTAATCTTCAAAATTTGGTAAGATTTTCCTCGCTTACAATAATTGTTTGTATCCGTTCGTAAAATTGTATACATGGTTTTTTTTCCATCCATGTATTTTTTTTACCCCGCAGCCAGTGGCGATGCATGAATGATTGATTATCAATATTGCCCCCTTTGATGCTATGATAACCTGTGTGAAGGTTTTGTTGTTGTTGTTGTTGTTTTTAAAAATCAAATTAAGTACTGTTCAATAACTGTTCAATAGTATACCCCATCAACGCGTGCTCATCTACTCTTTCTGTCTCCCCACTTCAGGGGTCGAACACCGCAAATATTAAATTAAGAAATCCACGGAAGACAGAACTAATTTAAGAGAGAAATGACTAATGAGATGAAAATCATTTCCAAGAAACTTTGCCGATCTTCTTTTCACGAGCGTCTCCTCTCCATTAGGCAAGCTTATGAACGCGACTGCAGTTGAGCTCTGTTTTGAAATTGCCGTCAATCTAAATTCCGATCCACTTGTACCAGCAGCGCCGCAAAACTTTCTTGATTCAGTCTAATTTTCCCCCGCCGCGCCGATCAAGTCCATTACGCGCTATGCACGAAGAATACTGCTGAGCTGAGGAAGAACGCCGTATGAACATGCGAGCGTCGCCAAATTTCCCCGAATAAAACATGTATCTTTGAGGTAAGTTGGGCATTTGTTGCTTAGAAATTTTCAGATATTTTAGATTAAATTGTGTACAAAATTTTCTGAAAAATTCGAAGGAAAATATTCAAAAGTTTCCTTGAAAAATCGTATTTTATCGGAGGAGTTTCGGCAACGCCTGAAGGCTCATACGACGTATTTCCTTAGCATGCCAGAATACTATCTACACTTATGCTATGCTTTGTATGGAAGAACGCCGTATCAGCCTTCGGAAGTTGCAAAATTTCATTCGATAAACCTTGAATTTCCTGAGAACTTGTTAATATTTCTCCCTCAATTTTCTAGAGAGTTTCATTCGTCGAAATATCAGAAAATTTCAGGGGAAATATGCATAACCAACAAGCGACGAATGTTTATATTTTTAGCTTAGGCGGCTCTTCTTTGCAAGGAAATGTTTTTGGTGGGATACCCACTTTCATGATATTTTGATAATTTCTTGATTTTTCTTGGATTGGCGCTTTCAGCCATAGTGTGGTGGCCGGAGCAACGGGTGCTACACCCGGAACTTCCGGTCCTCGAGCCCGGAACGGACGGTATGTCTAAAATGTAGCCCTTCCAAACGTGGTTTTCTTAGTCGGATTTTTCTTTCAGTGCGGTGGACTCGTAGTTCGAGCCCCCAATCATTCAAGAAAGTAATATTATGAAAAAAAAATAAAATTATTTTTGTCGCGTTTTCTTCGCTAGCTGTTCTGCCATAGGAAGAACTAACGACGTATGGGAATCGGGATGTTGCCGAACGCTCCTCGGATAAGGTATTTACAGGGTTGCCACAGTCAGGGAATACCGGGAAATCGAAATATGTCAGGGAGTTTTGAATAGTCAGGGAAAACCTGGAAATGTCAAAGAAAACCCAGAAATATCAGGGAAAACGACAAAAATGTTAAGGAAAATGACAAAAATGTCAGGGAAAAATGGAAAAGCACCTTTATTTGTTTCCTAGAATGACTTTGACGTTTCGAGCAACAAATTTTGCCCAAAAACTTTTTCTATTACATCTTTTTGACCATCTAGCGCACCTTCAATTAATTGTCAGGGATTTCACCAAAATGTGACAGGGAAATGTCAGGGAACTTCATTTTCTAGATTTGGTGGCAACCCTGTATTCAAGTTTTAGTGAAGTTCTCGGTATTGTTTCCTGAAATCAGAAATCTTGACCTTTATTACGGATAAAATGCTCTGAAAATTCCGAAAACAGCGCGCTTTTCCTCTTAAAAGACATCCGGCAACGTCCAGACGTTGATACGGCGTTTTACTTCAGCGAGGCAGCAATTGTGCATCGCGTTGCACCGATTAACCCGATCCAAGCTCTAATCGAGCTAAAAGTTGCTCGAACTTTTTCCGCGCCACTCGCAAACTCGGAAAGCCCGCCGCCCCGGCCGCTTGCGAACTCTCGCCGAAAGTTCTTCGCGTTCGGTTAATCTGTTTGCAGCTGTGATCTATCTTTTTTTCGCCGGGTTTTTCTCTCGTGAAAGCCTCCCCCCCCCTCTCACCGCTTTACAGACTTGAACCGCTGCATGCCTGGTGGTATTCTAATTTGACAGCTCGAAGTTTGTTCAGAAGAGCTTTTCTGCCTTATCGTATGTCCCTCAGTCGTCTCAGTCACCGGAGGTTCATCCGTAGTTTAATCGAATTTTACGAGAAGATTAAATTGCCAAATTTCAAATTTGTTCATTTCATACATGAATTAGTGTTAGTTTTCTTGGGGGCAGAGTGACAAATTCTTGAAGGCAGTTAATAAGCTTTTGAAGTAACCCTGGAATTTCTAGAATATTTTAAGCACCGAATAAAAAGATGATGTTTCGTACTTACTGCTGATTCTGATTCAGGTAACTCAGTTGCTGTTGTGCATCAACTAACTACAAATTGCATATACCACTTCTGAAAGACGTTACCTAATTTACTCTCCTGTCGTATTTTTTAATGTAAAACCAAGCACTTGAAATTCGAAATTTTGTGAGCGTATTCTTCATATTCAAGGGTTGATGGACAGAAAGTCGGTTTAGAAAGTGGAAGTAAAGAAGAGAAAAAAAGATGAAAGTAAATCAGGCAACGTGAAATGCTGTCAGGCTCATTTTGCTGAAATCCGTCAACTTCGTATGCACATCGGCAATTGGCCGGTTGTACTTAACATCGGTTTGGTTAATGTATAGCACCACTATGGGCTGGCTTTAACTGGCCTAAATTATTGGCTGTATTGGTGTACAGCATAATCCCACCCCCTCTTTCCGTGGTATAGTATCAAACCTTGAAATTGTTTGTCCTGTCAAAACTTTTGAATTCCTCCACCCTACTCATGCGCTCTNGGGGGGGGGGGGGGGGGGGCTCAAGTTTCAAATGTCTGATAATGTCCGGGTGTGTCTGATACCATGTATACGTATTTCAGCTGAACGGAACTGTAGACAAGTGGGGAAGATGGGGTGTGCTCTAGAAAGCTGCATATCAGTAATGTAAAATTGAGCTTGATACCCTTTGGAGAAATGGGAAAATGGGATTTTGCATTAGACCAAACGGAACTAAGTACTGACTGAATGTGACACTCATGAGCCGTGGGCAAAGCAATAGAGCGTTGTGGACAGGCCTCGTGAGTTAAGGACAGCCAGGGACAACGGCGACGACTTCGTTGCCGCTGACGTCACTGGCGCTTTGTAATTCCCGTCCGTTCTTACGGCTCTCGACCAACGAGTACACCCCTTCTTTCTTAACTGTCTCTGGTTCCGTTTATCAGAAATACGTCCATGTTCACATCGATTATCTTCAAAAAGTAGGGAAAACTTGGAAAGTACTCTGTTGAGGAGGTGTCCGGGGGGCCTCCCCCGGGAAATTTTTGAAATTTTAAATCTATTTGGACGCATTATGAAGCTCTTATGATGGAGATTTTCCATCAATTTCTGCAGAATAATTTCGCCTTTTTGTTCACTTTCAGCACCAAAAACTTTCGAATTGTTGCATTCAAAACATCTATGAATTTTTTTTTGAGGGGGCAGATGATAATTTTCAATTGTATGGGGAGCCGGGGCCCCCTGGACTCCCCTTTCGCACGTCTATGGCAAAGGAGTTAAGCCATTGAAGTCGAGGATGCCCAGAAAGGAGCCTCTTAGCATCCGACAACGGAAGAAAATGAAACACAGTTACTAAAAATATCATTCTACATATACACTGAAAAAAATGAGTTAGCGTCAGATGACTAAAAATGGTTTCCATACACTAACTCATATTGTGTGATTTGGACACACATGATTTTTGGTTTCTGTACACTAACCACTGTTAGTGCTGGGAACTAATTCCGCTACTCTAATTCGCATTCGGTAGGGTTGGGTCAACCTAACCTCAAAACTGAGAGAGGAGAAAACGGCTTAGCGAATGATAACTGGGCAATACTTTCAGGAAAAGAAGATTTCTTAAAAGATGAGAGGTAAAAATCAACTGACCGGTTCCAAATGAACGACAGAGGAAAGGAATATCCCATAGGTATGTGCAAGTAGACAGANTCAACTGAATGCAGCACTCATGAGCTGTGAGCATGGCAAAAGAGCGCTGTGAACAGGGCTCATGAGTTAAGGACCACGAGCGACAACGGCGACGCCTTCGTTGCTGCTGACGTCACGGGCGCTTTATAATTCCCATCCGTTCTTACGACCCTCGACTAACGAACACACCCCTTCTTGCCCATCTGTCTCTGGTTGTTTGGCAGAAATACGTCCATGTTCATATCGATCGTCCTCGAAAAGCCGGGAAAACTTGGGCAGTACTTTGTTTAGACGTCACCGAACGTCAGAAAATTTTATAAATTCAAGGAAACTTGTCGCCGTTGAAAATTTGATGCGCGTACATTAAGTCGGATTTTGTGAGCGCTCAGGTGGATTCATGATGTTCGGTGCCTTACGGCGAAAGAAGTGGCGACGAGCGAGTTCAAGCAGCGTGAGAACTCGACCGATATCTGCGTTATCCCTCCCGAAGGCTACCTCAGTACTTCACTCTCATCTCGTAAGAGGTTGCGAGAGATTATCTGTCAAAGAGTAGTTTATCAACCATAAAATTGTCCAAGGCAACGTATCTCATGAACCATCTTTACCGTTTCAACGGCGTGGTTCGGTCCTACTACAGGGTTTCTACAGTCACGGGATACCGGAAAAACCGGGTCGAAGAAACCAAGGGTGTCAATACCGCGGTGGATGGCGTCATAAACCGAATTTTTCAAAGCGCGATACCTCGGTTAATATTGAACTTGGAGAGTTGCTGTTTGAACCGATATTATTATGATTAGATAATCTACACAAGAATCATGCAACATAACACGATTTTATGACCAGTGCAACTGACCCAT